CAAGACAGGGTTTCTTTGTAGCTTTGAAGGCTGTCCTGGAACTAGCGCTTGTAGATCAGGCTGACCTCGAATTCACAGAGATCTGCCTACCTCTGCCTTCCAAGTGCTGGGATTAAAGGCATGCACCTCAACCACCCTGTTATTTTTAAACTTTTATTTATTTATTTGTGTTTGTGTTCCCATGTGTGCCCAAGCTTGTGCACACATGTACACAGGTGTACAGGTGCTGTGGAGTCCATAAAAATCTGTTTGATCCCATGGAGCTGGAGTTCCATGCATCTATGAGTGACTAGACATGGGCTCTGGGAACTAAACTCATTTATGTCCTCTGGAAGAGCAGAAAGTGCTCTAACTGCTGAGCCATCTCTCCAGCCCCCTAGTAGTTCTGGGTGCAACTTCCTGCATCAGATGCTTAATCAGCGTCTTAAATCTCCCCCAGTGTGGCTACAATGAGACCAAGATTGTGCTCAGAGCTCTGCTGTGCCTCTGTGCCTGGGCCCCAACTCCGGACAACAGACAGGGAGGTTTCTAGCCTTCCTCTTTTCCAACTTGTGTTTTCTCAAGTATTGATTCTATAAATTCTATATGAGACTTTCTGGACCTTACTCTTCACCTTGTTTTTCTGCTGTAGGACGATTACTAGGAGTTCAAGGTCAGCACCTTGGGCTAAGTAGGATGACTATAGCTAGGGGGAAGGAGGAGGAGGAGGAGGAGGAGGAGGAGGAGGAGGAGGAGGAGGAGGAGGAAGAGGAGAGAGGGACTGACAGCTGCACATCTAAAAACCATTATGGGCAACTCTATCTAAAAAGCAAAAACACACTGTGCAGACAGAGTTTTGGATTCTGTGCAGATGCTTCAATCTCTGTTATTCAAGAATATAAAATCCTAACTTGGCAATATTTATTTTTTCTTCAATCTAAACATTTCATAATATTTACTTGAAAAAATAATTATTTCAAACCCTGGATAAAGAAAGATGGGTTGAAACACTAACTAGTTATTAGTGCTGTCCGGTAGGGGTCTAGCTGCCCTAGATTAACACATAGAAATGTAGATTATCTAAACAACTCAAGGAGAAAAAGAAATCCTTGTGGGCCCCAGGTAGCCACACCCTAATTAGATGTGATTGGTTGATAGTTTCCCCATCACAAGGAGAAGCCCCTTCCCCACCTTTTTCATGCCCTTGCCTGTGTTCTTGCTCACCAGCCTCTCTGGTATTAACCCTAAACTGCCAAGTCGGAAGGGGAATCTCTGCAGTGGAAGGACTTATTGATTGACTTTGGATGCTGGTCAGAAAGAGATGCAGCCCTGGGACAGGTTCCTCAGCTCTAGACAAGGTGAATGGGGGATGCGGCAATCAATCAGCTGGTAAAAAGCTTGCTTTACAAACATAAAGACGTGAGTTTGATATCCAGAACCCAACTAAAATGCTGGGCTCGGTGGCACGTACCATGTGCTGTCCCTTGTGCTGTGACCCAGAATAAACCTGTTCTCCCTTAAATTGCTCCTGTCAGACTATTTTTTTTATTGTATCAACAAGAAAAAAAAAACTGAGGAAGTATGCTATAAAAGGAGACTCGGGTGCTGGGAAAACAGCACAGAAGCAGAGTTCTTGCCCAAGTGTGCAAGGCCCTGAGTTCAACCCCATGCTCTGCAATCAATCAACCAATCAAAAATATAAAGTATAAATAGAAAGAAGGCTCAGACACAATTAAAAATGTCAATTTTTTTAATTTTTAAAATAGATTTATTTTTGTGTTGTATCTGAGTGCCTTGCCTGCATATGATGTGCGCCAGGCACATGCCTACTGTCCGTGGAGGCTAGAAGAAGACATAAGGTTGTGAGCCACCGTATGGGTGCTGAGCACTAAACTGAATCCTTCGCAAGGGCAACAAGCGCTCTTAACCATTGAGCCACTTCCCCAGCCCCACCAATGGTTTTGACATAAGTCATGCACCTTTGTTTTAACAAAAGCTAAGGAGTCTACTCTAGATGAATTGTTTTCACTGCCTGGAACTTTTTCAGAAGCCCCAAAGCTAAAAATTCTATGTTAATCTAAGATTAATTATTTTTGAAGTTACATCATTTGAAAGATGTTTTCAAGTGACTCAAATATAAACAAGCTCAGTGTAATATTTCTGATCTACAGCTATGCTCACAAGCTATGTTCCAACTAAAGGGAATGACGAGGAGCAATGGTGGCACCAAGCAGAGGGTACTGGGCAGGTGAGAACTTGTTGTCCCTTATTTGCTCTGTCTCCTCTCTCTCCTATACTTTGCACAAGAGGCAGTTGCCTTTCTTCAAAGATTCGCATATTTTCACCTTTCCTTGCCTGGAGAACTTGCTTCAACAAAATAACATGCTAAGTGCTTGACTATCAACTGAAGTAGTCATCTAACTTTAATTTTTATATCTATTTATTTAATGTTATGGGTATATGGTGGTTTACATGAGAGTGGCCCCCACAGGCCATTTGATTACTTACTTGGTCCCCATTTGGTGGAACTGTTGGGGGAAGATTGGAGGTTTGGTTTTGTTGGAGGAGGTGGCTTTGAAGTATGACGTAGTCATTTCAAACTAGTTCTCTCTACCTTGTGCTTGTGGGTTGAGACGAGAGCTATCAGCTGCCCCTGCTCTGATACCTGTTCTGCCATCACAGACGCTAGCCCTCTGGAACTGGAAGCCCAATTAAATACCTTCTTCTGTAAGCTGTCTTGTCCATAATAGTTTTTAACAATAGGATGTTTTGTCTGCAAGTTGGAAAACAGCCTGGGAACATCAGACACTGTTTCAAAAAGAAAAAAGAAAAAAAAGAAAAGAATAGGGAACAACAGTTTATTGATTAAGATAAGGGAGTTGCAGAGATCGCTCAGCAGTTCAAAGCAGCAGGTGGTCTCCCATGGACATTCATCATGTCAGTGCCTGGTGCCTGCAGAAGCCAGAAAAGGGCATTGGACCCCTTGACACAGGAATTAGCTAGTTGTCAGCTGTCATCTTGAGACAGGCATTAGCCAGCTGTGAGCTGTCATGGAAGTCCTGGCAATTGAACTTGGGTCCTCTGGAAGAACAGGTTGACCTCCAATTTGCTATCTCATTCTGCAGCTGAGGAATGACCTGGGACTTCTGCTTCTATTGCTTCCATCTCCCAAGTGCTTGGGTTGCAGGTCTGTGCCACCACAGCCAGTCTGCATTCCTGGGGATCAAACCCAGGGGTTCTTGTATGCTTGGTAAAAGTTTGCTAGCTGAACTAAATCCCCAGGCCCACAAACCCGTTTCTTTCCTGACCTTAAAATCCTCTTCCTTCTGTTACTCCCCATATGAGCTGCTGGCAAGCACAAGGGCCCCATGTTTCCTTGGTCTGAGCACCATGTCAGGGTCAGAGAGTGACTGTCTGTGCTTTAGCTGTGACTGTTTGGTTCGATGCTCACATACTGATGAAACAACCAGAGTCACACTCATATTAGCTGGGGAAGGATGGACTCTTTCCTATAGACTGTACCCTCTAATGCCAGCCCCCTCCTTGATGGTCACTTCATATTTTTAATAGGTAACACAAAATCTTACAGGAGTCTTACCCAGGGTTTGGATTTGATCCATGAGGTCTTATTTAGTCCTTCTAGCCTATGATTTCCCATGACCCTTTCTGATTGTCTGTTTATAGGCACCCTACATTTTTTGCTGTACACAGGAATGCTAGAAACCTCCCTTTCCATGGCATGCTTTCCTGAAAGACTTGTAACACTTTGCACACACGTTCTTGTTTATCAGCTAATACACACGGAGAATGATATGCAAATCCCCCTTCTTTTTCCATCCTGTCGGCTTGTGATTGTCAGTGGGTTCATGCCTGTGCTGAGACCTGAATTGGAGGATAGCAAGGACAGAAGGATAGGACATAATCTGGGGATAGGAAGATATGAGTGAAAGGTTCAGCTGGTGGCACATTGGTCCCAACACCGTCATTCCCTATGCACACTTAGAAATAACAACCCTCCATCTTTTGTTTTGTGTAATTATCATTTAGTATACCCAGTAGGGTTTTCAAACCTTTTATATCTCTGTGGATTTATTTTATTTCAGAGTGAACGTTACTTTATGACTCAATAACCATTAATGTGACTTATTTATGATGTTAGGGAGGAGTAGGGGAAGAAGGCATTCTGATAAGGGGAGGCCGGCTAGCCTGATGCTTCTGCCCCAGAAGAAGGGGAGACCCAACTCTGCTCCATTGTTATAGCGCTGAAACCCTGGCGACCCAGCTGTTTCTTTCCTGACCATACAATCCGCTTCGAGATTGCATGCTCCAGATATTCTACCAGATGTGAGTGTTCGAGGCCTGCGCAAGCAATACCAGAGCGCTCGTGGTGATAGATCTGAAAGTAATTTTGAATTCAGAAGGTGTCAGCGTCAAGGACTGTGAGTAATGACGAGCCACCTCAGACTAATGTTGCCGCCCTTACACGACAGTTGTTGAAGGAGACCAGTTTAGTGCCTGAGCCAGCTTCTCAACCGAGCAAGATTAGGGAAGCCAGAAGGGCAGCCTAAAATTCACCAGAGAGCGCGGCCCAGCCTGGCGAGACGCCCACCTGGAGCGTGTCCGCTGCACGAATTTCAGGACCGCTGGGCGGACAGCTCCCCGGAGCCGGGCGCGGCTGCGCAAGGGGCGGGCCAGCGCGCACGGACCACGAGGACCCGCCTCCCTCCCCACGCCCACGGGAGGCCAGGAGCCAGTGCGAGGTGCTCCCCGGGGCCGACGGGCCGAGCGACACGCCCCCAAGGAGGCGGGGCGTCCGACTATCCCCGCCCCCTCGAGGCCCGCGGTTTCCATTCGCCAGCGGTGGGAGGTGCTGGAGGCGGGCCCGGTCCGCGGCTCGCGCCCGGGAAGGTCGGCCGCGCAACGCGGCTGCCGTGGGGAGGGCGCACGGGGACGCGACGGGGCCGGGCGCGGCGGAGACGCAGCGGGCGGGGGCGGCGGCGGCGGTGGTGGCGGCGGCGGTGGTGGCGGCGGCGGTGGTGGCGGCGGCGGCGCCGGGCAGTGGCTGAGTCTCCGCCGCGGCCGCAGCTAGCGGTGCCCGAGCTCTAAGGCGCATCCCGGGCTCGCGGCCCGAGCGGCCAAGACGGCGGGCCGGCCGGGCGCGGGGCGGCGCGCGCTGTGCTGCGGGCTGCGCTGGTGGGGAGCCGCGGGCCGCGGCGGGGGTCCCGGGCCCGGCGTGTGCGGCTGGGAGGCGCTCTGGGGTGTGGGCGCGCGGGCGGCGGCCGGGGCCATGGCCGAGGGCGGCGGGGGCGCGCGGAGGAGAGCTCCCGCGCTGCTGGAGGCAGCCCGCGCACGGTACGAGAGCCTGCACATCTCCGACGACGTGTTCGGCGAGTCGGGCCCGGACAGCGGCGGGAACCCCTTCTACAGCACCTCCGCAGCCTCGCACTCCTCCTCGGCCGCCTCCTCGGACGATGAGCGCGAGCGCCCCGCTCCTCCGGGGACCGCCCCGCCACCCCAAGCCGCGGATCCGTTGGAGCTGGAGGAGGATGAGGCCAGTGGAGGCTGGAGCGCCGCGCTGCGGGATCGCCCGCCCCCGCGCTTCGAGGACACCGGTGGTGAGGATCGACCGGGGACACTGGGATGCAGGGGCGCAGGGCGCGGCCTGAAGGCTGGAGTAAGAGCCGGGCGGGCGCCAGACACTCCCGACCCACACCTGTGATTTTCTGGAAGCAGATGGTTTGGGAGCAGGGATTTAAACAGGAGATGGCCCTCCTGCCCAGGGGGGTAGTCCCAGGTTTCTTGTGGGTGGAGACCACGCGAGCACTTTGCCAGAGGCTTTCTGTCATCTAGCGGAGTCACACCTGTGGGGTCAGTAAAGTATGGGCTTCCTGACACTGCCGAGGCAGGGTCATTTGCAGTCCGCAGGACCTAGGTGCCAGGGGTGAGGCCGGTCGCAGCTGAAGCGCAGTGAGAGCCCAGTGCGAGGCTACCCCAGCATCTTCACTGATCTGTTTTCATGAGAAACTTCCTCTGGTGCCAGTCGATCTCTCCCTGAGAGGAGCGAAGGGTGATTCCTCTGCGTTAGTGCGCGTGCTCGTCGTTTGATTACTTTTAAGGTGTGTAGACCGGACCCAGGTTATCTGGAGATGTCTGGAGTTGAGCTCAGTGACTGCCACTCCGGGTCCTCAGGAAGCTCTTGGCTTTTGCAGAGTCTAATTCTAAAACATCGCTGCTTTGCAGCAGCTCAGCCCTCTGCTTTCCGAGGAAGTGGAGGTTGCATTCTAGTTTGTGTCGTCCCCCCTCCTCCCTCCGGTGCTGCTGTTCAGACTCCATGGTCTCCAGGCAGGCGGATGTTAGGCCAAGTGTGGATGGGCACCCGGGAATGCCCTTTGCATGATCCCCCCCCCTACACACTTTGGATTAACCCGGGGTAGTGTACACTTAGTGTGACACTCTAATTATTGTCCAGCCCAGCTGGAATGCATGCAGGTGGACGGGAGGCAGGGCCCAGGGACTGGACCTGGGAACCTTGCTGCGGGGAACTAGAGATGGGGACTGTTGACCCGGGCTGCGGTGTGGGTGGGCAAAGTTGCAGCTGGACTGGATGGAGGTTTACCATCGCCGTGCAAAGCTCTAAGTGGGTATATTTGAAAGTGGGGCCATTTGGCTGTGACTAGCTGTGCTCTAAATCACGCTTCTATCCTAGCCTACATTTTCCAGTGTGCCATTAGGAGCCTTCTGTCCTGGGCAGCTGTTTTCCATACTGACTCTGGGGACTGTACCAGCCCAGTGTCCTGGTTTGGCAGTCTTTATGCTGTGATCCCATGTGATCCCATGCTGTAGCACTTAAGATAGAAGTCTACAGAGGAAGACTCAGCAAGCTCGTAGGTCTCAGGGCAAAATAATGACATTGCACTGGGTTAGGCCTAGTTTAAGAATGATGAAGGTTCTGGAGTTGAGAAGTGTAAACACACCAAAGTGACTGTTTACACAGTAGCTTACGTCTTAGTAACCTGTAAGTTAAGATTCGAAAGCAGAGTCCTTTCGTCTGTCTATTGCACTGTCCCCTCGGAAGACCAGTGTTACCTGCCACTGGAATTAGATTCACATCCTGCACCTGAGCCTGAGTCAATGAGGTACCACAGGCAAAGGCGTTATCGACTGTTTGCTGGTGTTTGTGGTTAGTGTTGTTTTTCTACTCTAGGAGTTGCCCTGTCTTTTAAACTGAAGTCTACTTTAGAATTTTCTCTTTGGGCTATCATCTCCTTAAGGGAAATATGGGAAAGGGTAGAGGGGCAAAGCTGATGGTTTGTTCAGCATGCAGATGTGATTTGTCAGGGCTTCAAACAGATGCTGATTTCCAGGGTGGTCTGAGCAGACGCTGGAGCCCAGGAGCGTGGAGAAAGATGGATGTGTTTATTAGGAGGCCAGTTGCTGCAGAGCTCAGCCAAGAGGTTGAGCTCCTGGCCCACAGCATCAGGAACACTCCAACAATTGCTCTACACCGCCAGGGCTGCTGCCTGCATCTCCCTCCCTTCTGTGCCCTCCAGTTTCTTAAGAGATAAACTGGGTGGGGAGGGTGGGAGGGGAGAAAGGAAGAGAGTGGCACTTTGATCTGTCACCAGGTTCCATAGTGGAACATTTGCAATTGCTATCGCTGCTGCAGTCAGTGAGGCCTGCACGGGACTCTAGGTTAATACAGGACTTACTGACTTGCCCCATCGTAAACAATTGTGTCTGTCTGTGAGTGTAAGAGAGTGTGTGGGAAGGTGTGCATTGCCTTTGCCGGCTGAGTGGCGGAGAGTTTTCTTGGGGAGAATGCACCTGTTCGCTCTCTCAGCACCTGTGATGACCTGGAGGCGTTTGCTGAGCCTTTGGGCAGGAAAGCAGGGCACTTTTGGGCCCATTCTACATTGAGTTGCTGTCGGAGATCTGTGGCTCCATGGAGATTGCACACACAGTCGAGAGACGTTGGTGCTAAGCTGAGAAAAGGGGAGGAGAGAGACCCGTGGTTGCTGGTGAGAATCCCGGCCCTTTAGGCTGTTCACTCCTATTTTCCATGGCTTCAGCTTGCTGGATGGAGCATGCTTGGGGAGGCACAGCCAGCAGTGGCAGGGGAGCGGCTCTTCCACCCCTCTCGGGCTCTGCTCTGAGGTGTGGGTTCCCTTGGGAAGACTTAAATGTACGCAGTGCTGGGAGGCTGGTTGACACGCTTTAACCCTTGATGGGAGATTCTTCCTAGGAACTGAACTGCTTTCTGGGAGCACAGATTTGCTGCTGAAACCCCTAAAATAGCCCTGCAAACTGTCAGCCTCCTGCCTTCCCATTGTGCACATCCCCAGCCCTGTGCCAGGACTCCTGGGAGCAGTGTGAAGTTCAGGCGGGCTGTGTCCAGGGCCTCTGACCTTCACGTTTCCTCCGCTACTGACAGGCCTTGGATCTCTTCTTGGAGGAGGCAGAGGAGCAGGCGGCACTACAGTCTCGGATCTCCTCTTCTATCTTTGGTGGATTTTTGTGGCGACTGTCTGTGCTTGGGCTGCTCGAAGGGGAAGTTCACAGACAAGTCCCCTCCCATCCATGATACCCTGCCAACAACTGCAGGAGACTCACTCCAGTAGGAGCCTGACCTTGGGAAGATGAGAGAAGCGTGTGGGGTTGGAAAGAAACATTGTTGAATTTAGAGTTTACTGCTGGCTTATTTTATAATTATTATCATCACTGTTGTTGTTTTAGAGACAGGTTTCTCTGTGTAGCAGTTTTGGTTGTCCTGGAACCTAATTTGTAAACCAGGCTGGTCTTGAACTCACAGAGATGCGCCTCTCTCTGCCTCCCTCCCGAGTGCTTGATGGGATTAAAGGTGTGCATCACCACACCTGGTTTACTGCTGGTTTATTGATAAAATCTTTTATTTTTAACTTTTGTAATAATTATTTGTTATATATATTCTCTGAGAGTTTCATACATGCATGCAATGTATTTTGGTCATATTCATACTGTTCCCACCTCCAGCTCTTCCTAGACCCTCTCCCCCACATGTGCCTTCCAACTTTGTGGGTTTTTTTTTCTCTCTCTCATTTTTTTTTTAAAAACCTACTGAGTCTAACTTATGCTGCCTGTATATTGCAGGAATGTGGGGCTGTTCACTGGAGCATGGTCAGCCTAGCAGATACCACAGTCCTGAAGAAAACTCTCTCCCTAGCTGGCATCAACTCTCAATGGCTCTGTAGCTAGGGATGGGGCTGCTGTGCCCCAGCCCCCAGCCATCCTGGAATGTAGAGGGCCTTGATCTTGATCTTATGGGATTCCTGAGTAGTGTGGTCACTACACCACCCCAGTCCTCCCAAACCTCTGGCTCTTACGTGTTCTCACCCCCTCTTCTGCAATGTTACCCGAGCCTTTCTGGCAGGGGTGTGCTGTAGATGTCCCGTTTATAGCCGAGCACTCCATAGGCCTTTGAGCACTCACTGTTTGTGAATCTCTGATAACAAGGTGATCTAGTAAAACCTTTCAACTAATGAGTAAGAAGAGAAAAATGTTTCTTTTTAAGGCTGGAGTTAAGTGGGGTCTTTGACCTGGGAGAGCGGGAGGCCCTTATTTGGAGTCAGGGAATCGAATGGCACCTTCTGTCTTGGCTCTGTGCCAGGTTGTGTGGCAGCAGGAGGAGCCTGGGACATAGGGAGCTGCAACTGCAGTCTCAGGCAGTGCTGCCCAACAGCTGAGCAGCCATGCAGGGTCCATGCAGCTGGCTTCCTGGGAGCTCTGTGTCCCACAGCTGTGTCCAGGTGGGGAACCTGGAGCTCTGTGTCCTGAGGCTGTGTCCAGGTGGGGAACCTGGAGCTCTCTGTCCCGCGGCTGTGTCCAGGTGGGGAACCTGGAGATCCTGGTGGAGTTCACGTCAGTCATTGCTGTCTGTGTGTCGTCACATGCCATGTTGACGCAGACTCCGTGGTAGAGAAGTTGTCAGTTTCTGCAGAAGACAGCCTTAGCGTCTTAGCTGTGGAATCAGATGGAAAGACTTGGCCAGGTGGACACGAGGACACCATCCCCTAGTCAGCCCTCCAGCTCCGGACAGGCAGTTCCACCCCTTTTGTTTCTTGAACGTCTTTCAGTCCTGCTACCGTGCCTAACTTATTTCTATGTTAATATGTAGAACTGCTCTTTCAGTGTGTGTGTGTGGGGGGGGGTTACTGTTCTGGAAATTTAACACGTGAATGTGCTTTTTTAAAACCAACCCTTGTCAGGGTAGAGCAGGAAGAATTTCTACTATCCCTAGGAACATAGTGCTGCTTTTCAGGAGGCGGGCCTTCCTGTGCCAGGAGGCAGGACTTCCTGTGCCAGCAGGTGTGGCTATGGATGCTGGCAGAGACTGTGGAAGGTTCTCACTTGTCCAAGAGTGTCAAACTCACCTTTATTTTAAAAACTGTGCTTGTATATTTTTCTTAACATCATAATAAACATCTTCACTCTTAAAAATAAAAAATGTTTTAAAGTTTTTTTAGTCCCACGATTTTCCATTATCTGGAAGAAGCTAATTGAGATGCTCAGTACATAAGTCATGTATATAAGATTACATCATGGTGGGTGAACTGAGTTTTGATTGCAATTAATGACCTGT